ATCTCAGGCTTTAAAAGGCATGTATGTATTCTTTCCTTTTGCCTCCACTAAAGCACTCCATGAGGTGACATGTAGAACCTCTACTTGGTTAACTGAGGGGATCGCAGCTTGAACAAGACTTGGGTGAGGGGGCAGTAGGTGAACTAAAACTTGCAGGGGAAAAAATTGGGAAGTCTGAGGCGTAGGTATACTTGTGCAAGTTTGTATGAGAAGTCTTTGCTGCCATGAGGATCTACTTGCGGAAGCCAGTTTTGTACAGAAATATGCATGCCACAGAATAGGAGTAGCCCCAGCAGAAATAACATGGCTCTTTCTCTGAAGCAGTAGCTGCTCATATATCTCATTACTTCAGACAATTTTTGGGTCTTATGAAGTATATGATAGAATCAATATGACACTGGAAAATGTGAAGGAGAAATCTCCCAGATCCTGGATATCTTACATCCTTTCAGCACTACAGTGATACATAGAAGATTCTGGAGCCTACAAAAGACATCCAAGCTGTGAAGTGATGCTGTGTTTCTTTCAGGGGATATAAATGTTTGTATTTTCTTGGTACCATGCTTGTGTATACCAGACAAGAGGAAAGAAAATGAGATCTTGTGATACAATGTTTAGGGGGGGAAAAAGAAAGGAAAAAAGAGCTAAACAAGATATATCCAATTGGATTTGGATATATCATTTACTTACCTTCCAGCCTCTAGGGGTACTTGCTTGTTTATCAGCACCTTTTCTAAATAGGGTGTTTTACCTCTATTCAGTCACACTTTCATGGACAGTTGCAACAGGATTGTCAAGAGAAACTCAACTTTGTGACCAAGTTGCTTCCAGTAAACTGGCAGCCACAGCTGTCTGACTTAATCTTTCACACTTCCATGAAAATAAAAGCTGTGATCCTTCCACTAAAGTGTAACTAGTTTAATTTATATTTTTCCCCATTCTTTGTTGTATTCTGATGTGAAGACTGGTTTTAAGAGTTTGAAAAATCTTTTGAAACTAATTTCACTTTATCTTGGCTATTATCTGCTACTTCTCTGAAGCCTGGATTTAGATCACTGTAAACCAAGTGGATCTGGAAATTGTAAAGAAATTGTGTATGCTATTAAATTCCTATCCCATTTCATCATCCCTTTTTATGAATGCTTCCAATAAGAGATGACTGAGAGCAGTATCCTTAGAATACAGGAGAAGGGACTACTTGCCTCTTAATTTTTTTTCACTGAAAATAAGAATCTTATATTCCAGATCTTTGATAGTTTCCTGCATCACTGTAAAATTTCAAGTCTCCGTGGATTATTTTAGTCTGCCTAGTTCCTTAGGTAAATCTTCAAGTTTGATTTGTGGTTATCAGTTTTCAGGACATTTCTCTTCACAGTTGTTCAACATGCTGAGAATGTATACTGAACTTTGCTGGTAAGAGCATCTTGTTATCATCATACAGTCTTGCTCTTGATCTTTTCAAAGCAGTGGTAATAACTAAATGTTTGGAGGTCATGGTCATGAGGCAAAGGATCCATAGTTTGACTCAAACATAGGATTAATGAGAGCAGCGTTATTTTATATTTAGCATGAACTTAGTTTCTCTCATAATGGAAACAGGTATGTTTCAGATTTTGGCAGGAGCTGCAGACTTCTGGCATCTACATGACATAATTTCAGTCCTCAGCTATTCTGCAGAGAGATAACCAGTACATAATTCAGATGGTGCATAGATATAGTGTTGAAAGTCCTGCAACAGATTCTCTTCAGGCATGCAGTGAGATATTTTTCTCTCATATACTTACTCAGTCTAATGCAGCTCTGAGGTATGAGTAACTAGTTTTGTGTTTTGAAGTTACACTCTTACTCAATTATTTTAAATGGACTTTGGGTCAACAGGCAGGAAGGAGGACTCTTTGTGTTTTGGGTTGGTTTCTTTGCCTCCTCTATGTTTCCAGATTTTGTCAGCAGGACAGCCTTGACAGAAAGCACTTGCACAGCAGTAAAAGATTTTTTTCAAAGAACTATTAATGTATATGAGGGAACATCCATCAACTACGGTATAAGTAGTACTACAACGATGAACAAGAACTGCTAAGTTTTAGTTACAAGAAGGATCCAGCCTTAACTCCTTGCCTGGATCATTCGAATCACCCAGGAGCAGAAATTATCTCTACTATAGCAGAGGAGGCATTTGGGAAACTTAAGGCTAGTTTTGCACTGAAGGTTAAAAGTCGCAGTTTAGGCATTCAGGCATTGTTTGGTGTTAGCTGAACCTAGTTAACTCTCCCATTCAGTTCTCAATCCCTTTGCCTATTCTACCTGATGTATAGTCTTAGAGTACTGGACAAGTCATGTGTTGGTTTTTGTTGATTGTGTCACTACCTCAGATGACCTGCATGCTCTTTACTTGACAGCCAGTGAAATGCATCTGGTTCCTGAGCTTCAGAGCTTTCTGTTCCAAAACCAGACACTAACAAGACTGATTTACAAGTTAATTAAGATATGTTTCTGACTAATTTAGTGGCATTCTGTGATGGAGTAACTGCACCAGGGGCAAGGAAAGAACTCTGCCTGGTCATCTGTAAAACCTTTGATACAGCCCCCCATTGCAATCTGTCCAGTGAATTGGAAAGATGTGGATTTGATGCATGGACTGTTAGATGGATAAGGAATTGACTGGATGGCCAGTCCAAAGAGGTATCATCAATGGCTCAATTTCCAAACAGAAACCAGTAATGAGTGGTGTCCCTCAAGGGTCCATATTGGAACTAACTCTTTATCAATGACACTGACAGTGTAATTGGATGCACTCACAGCAAGTTTTCACATGACACCAAGTTCAGTGACACGGCTGAGTTGCTTGAGGAGTGGGCTTGTGTGAATCCATGGAGGTCTACAAGGCCAAGTGCAACAACTATGTCCAGTGAAAGAAGTCTGTGTTACTGCTCTACACATGTAATCTTCTTGTATAAGTTTATACTGTAACAAATTCTCAGTTGTAAGTGCCTCTTATAAATGGTATTAGAATCAATCCTTGGAACAAGTGTCTTCCAATTCTTGGAATAAGCCAAAGATCCTCACAGATCTCATCTCAGATTCCTCTCTGACATGATTTTGGAATGCCATATGAACCCATATTCTGTTTCTTCTTTGCTGAAGAAAAATAAAACTTGAAAGAGCTGGGCTGGAATTAATCTGCCTTAGCCTCATACATCTAAAAATTAAACATCTTGTCTCTTTCCATAGTAAAGGGATGAAGAAATGAAATAGCTGCTCTTCATGTCTTGTATGGAAATGTATGTTTAAATACATATCTGTAGATAGTCATGTCTACAGAACAGCTCATCCCTTCTCCTTCTCAATTGACCATGACATCCATCTCAACTCATGTAACCTATAGGGAGCAAACCTATAGGAATTTGCTCCCTATAGGTTACATGAGTTGAGATGGATGTGATAATTGTGTTATTGTAAAACAGCAGTTCCTATAGGAGTATACTTTGACTGTGGAGAGGATAAAGGTCCAGAAATATCCTTTCTAAGTTTATCAAAGTGGATTTCAAAGTAGAAGAATACATTATGAGCTTGATTGTGGTTAAGTAATTTTGATATTAGAAAAATGATAGTTTATTCCCCTCAATTCTGCCTAAATTTTGCTTGAGCATTTCAGATACCTTTTGTAAAGGCTTCTGAGTTTGTCCATGCCCAATGGATTCAGCACTTTTGTGAGTATTTGAGAGATGTTCCTTATTCCCACCTAAGAATAATTGACTACTTGCTGGTTAGTTACCAAGAAAGGAGCCTGTATGGAAAGAAGCAAACAATAGCTGTACTTCTCTGAAATATGTTCTCCACATGGGTTCTGAAGCCCCTACCCTTATTGAATCCTCTACTTCCAGCTTGTTTGTCAACAAAGGAATGAAGGACAGTACTGCATATTGTGTTGTCTCCAGTTTAGAGACAGGTAGGGCATGAGTTGGGAGCCCCAGTTCTAAGTTTTAGCAGTATTAGTTGACCTGAGGTAAATAGAATTTATACACTGCAAGGCTGTGGTTTCACAAACAATTTGAGCCAGTTCAAGTGGCTCAAAAGACTTCTGAAAGAAGTCTGTTCTTCTTCCCCTTTCCCTCTGTCAGCACTTGTGTTGGAGACTGCACAAGAAATGAGAGCATATTGACCAGTAAAATGTGATTAAAAAAACCCCAAAAATTTGCGGTTGTATCAGTTCCTTGATCACTTTGGAGCCTTGCAGCCTTAGCACAAGCTTGAAGGGAGGAAAGGCAGTACTGTGTTTGGTGGCAACTCTTGTTTACATAAGGCTGTCATTCGACTACTGCTTTAAGCCAGAATTCACATGGATGAGGTTTCTGAAGCTGTTACTTGGATTGCATAAAATTTTTTTTACTGTTTTTATGAATAATAACTTTCAAAGTAGTTCACTTTGAAAGTTGCATGGAATTGACTCATGAATTTTACTATCTGTCTGCAAGGGTATGTATAAAAATGCCTGTTGGGTATATAAATACAAATTTTATGAATGCAGAAAGATATCTTTGTATATGTCATGTTTATTTTTTATACAGTTTTACAGCTCAGTCTAGCTTCCATTAAGAGCAAGATAAAAACTTATTTGTTCAAAGTTGCTTTTTAAGACTCTCTTATATTTCCATTGATTCTGCAAATCATCCATATAAAGCAGCTTATGCCTCACAGTCACAGTAACAGTACTTTTTTCCTTTCTTTGATATTTTATCAATAAACTATATAAGTGTACTTTTTACATTATCATTTCAACATGTTGTCTCTCTGTTTGGAAATGACTATAGTGAAGCTATTTGCATATTAAAAACTGAGAAATTCTTTTTTTTGTCACCGTGTCCTTGGGTAGAAGGTACAGTTGGATGCATGAGATACCTGTTGTGTAGTGGCTTGATTTGCTTTGGTAATTTGTTTGTTTCATTAAAAGAGATAGTTTACCAGGTGAGTTTAATACTCTAATCTTCTTTTTTTCTCATTAGGTTGCAGCTATTTATAAAGATTCAAGTATTGGAAATCTTATAAATATAGTTATTGTCAAATTAATTGTAATTCACAATGAGCAGGTAAGAAAAGAAATATTTAAAAGATTTCTTTCTTATATTAGAAACAAAATGCATGAACTTACATTGTAATTACAAAGTTGTTTTTTTTTAATTTAAATATAAAATATTTTTTTAACTACATAATTTTGTTTTAAAATAGGAAACAATATGTCAAATGCAATGTTAACTTCAAGGCCTGTATTTAATGCCTCTATTTTCCTGTCTGTATTAGTAAGTCCATTTGACCTATACTGACATAAACCAGATAGTATATGAAAGCGTATGGCAGAACTACCTGAAGTGTGGTTGTGCTCATGGAAACATGACAGGAAAATAGTACTTTTTATAGAGGGTTCCGATGGAAGGCTTTCAGCCCTAACAGCTGTAGTATTTTAAGATTGTAAGAAGTACTTGCTTTTCAAATATGTGGATTTATATTTATTTATTATAAATGTTTTGTCACTATATTTGCTAATATTGAGCACATGGTAAATGCTCACATACATTGTTTAGAATAATGGCTTCTTTTGACTGATGACTTGTAGATGAATTCAGATCTGACCCTTCAAAGAATGTGCTGAGGGAATTCTTATGTCGAGTCCTGCTGACTTTCTTTCCATGCACAAGTCATTACTTTGTAGATTAGCAGCACAAATGACAATGCAGTAAGTGCAAGTGCATGAATATTGAAGCCCTTATTTGATGTTTTTGGCCATTTCTTGCTTAGGAAGGACCAGCTATCACTTTTAATGCAGCTACCACTCTGCGTAATTTTTGCTTATGGCAGCAAGCACAAAACACTTTGGATGATACTCACCCTTCTCATCACGATACTGCTGTTCTCATCACCAGGTACAGTATCTAAAATAGCCACAGTTACCCACCTAGGTGAGACAAATGCTTCAGTTTTGTTTTTACAATATAATCTTTCAACCATTCATTATTCATAGATAAGTGAATAACACTATCTTGCCCTTCCAAAACACTGATTATCAATATGTGAGCAATTACTCTGACATTGCTGTATTGATAGATAAGCATCTGATTATCCTTCAGGTAATGACAGAAATTAATTAGACCTGCAAGTGTTGCACGGAAGTTAAATCTCTAGTTTTGGTACATATATGTGACAGGGGAGGAGTGTTGTTAGAGTCAGCTGAAGGATGCAGTGACAGACAGCTCCTGATAGCCTGATGTAATCAGAACTATGAAAAGCATAAAATGGAAAGCATATAAATATTAGTATCTTTTCTGCCTGTACACCAGTCACCTCAGTGATGGTTCTGATGTTCATTCCTTTGGAATAGTCTCTTTTTCACTGATTTTTCCCTCAGTAAGGTTTCAAGTATACTGCAATTTGCATGTTTTTCAGCATCATTTCATACTTAAGCTACCTTCTGCTTCTAGAGAAAGAACATAATATATTTTTATTCTTTGCATGCTAGATAAAAGGCATCACTGTGGGCTTAGTCTGGTGAATTTAAATTACTTCTTTCACTAGAATACAAATGGTTTGAATGGCCTGTAACATTAGAAAATGAGAATCAGATTTGCAATTGCTGTAACTAGTATAGCAACAGTGAAATACTTTTCAAATATTCTTTTATATACTGTAATGATTTGAAATAAATATTTTCTTTCAAGGGAAGATATCTGCAGAGCTAGAGAGAAGTGTGATACTCTTGGTGAGTTACTCTTTTTCATCAGTATGATTTTACATATATAAGAATATTAGTGTCAATATTGGTTTAGGAATAGTCAGAAAATAGATCCAAAATTTAAACCACACAGACAAAAATAATGGTTTCCCATTTCTTATTGCTATTCTCTCCTGGCATGTACTTTGGTGCCAGGTGGTTGTTTGTTTTGTGTAAATTTGCTACATACTTGAGGCACAACTTTTGACTTGAGTGCCATAGCATTCACTGTAATGCATGGCAATATGTGACAATTCATTCCCTTAAGCTTTTATATAAGGATTCAATTTTGCAGGTTTAGCAGAGCTAGGTACAATGTGTGACCCACTGCGCAGTTGTTCTGTAAGTGAAGAAAATGGATTGAGTGCTGCTTTTACTATAGCACATGAGCTTGGACATGTGTAAGTACATATTTCTTGGCAGGTAATTGTTTTTGTTTAATTTCCTTTTTAATGTGACCAATTTTCAGCAGTGGGATTTGCATTTCTAAGAGGTTGCAGTTTGATGTGGCCTTTCAGAAGAGTCATTATTTTTGCCCCTTGCAGTGAGCCTGGTTAAGAAATTGTGAGTTTTATAACTTGGTTGGTATCCTTAATTTTAGGAAAAACTGTCCAAAGAGATGGATTCTCTCCTTTTGTCATATGAACTGGTTGGGAAACTGGGACATACCCTAGGTAGTGCAAAATAGTCTGTTAACTCTAAGTGTATTCTAGCCCTGTTAGGAATTTACCTTTAAGAAAAGACAATTGTTAATATAACACAGAAATATTCTTCCTTGTGTTTGATCCTTTCAGAGTACAGTAGAGTAACACAAAGAGAAATACTTTACACTGAAAAATAAGAGGAGATGACAGCATTTTATTTTATGAAGCATACCTCATCAGTGATGGCAGAAAGGTGCTATACTCTAGCTCCATGAGCATGCTGCAGTGTAGGTAACGATGACGGTACAGAGCTCAGTAGCTAGCTTGTTCATTTTCTTGTGCCTGCAAGTCCACTTAGACACATGCTATTTGTCTTGGTACTTGAACTGAGATAGTAATGTAAGATGTTAGTTGCATTGAGTATGATAATCGTGTGCTCTGCAGTTTTTGTTTCTGAGTAGTGAGAGTTATGATGTGAGTGTTGGGTTGCATGTTGTGAACAGACCAGCCATGGCCTGTATATTCAGTTGAGGACATGGGTTGTTCCTTTATAGTGTCGCACTCCTAAAACACTGGAATTTTTCTGGTAAGCTAAAAAAATATGTTTCTTGTACAATTCTTCCTGTACCCACCACTATACAACTAGGAGCATTTGGATAAGGGGATAATTATGTAAGTCATTTTAAAGATACCTATTGCAAAAAGGTCAGATAGATGCATTAGGTCCCATTAAATTTTAAGGCATTCTCAAACTCAAAATTCAAGCATTTGCTGCTGCAGCAAAGAAACTTTCAGTTAATTATTGCTGAATTTGTTTTGGAGTTTATCTCTTTTGCTTTTTAGGTTTAATGTGCCTCATGATGATAGTTTTAAATGTAAAGAAGCTGGAATTAAACACCAATATCATGTGATGGCTCCAACTTTAAATTATCATACAAGTCCATGGACCTGGTCAAAATGCAGTCAAAAATACATCACTGAATTTCTTGAGTAAGTATCAATATAATGCTATGGTTTGGAGTGGAGTTTTTTGGTTTTTGGTTTTTTTTTGGGTTTTTTTTGCCTTACCAATTTCATTTATTTCTGAGAAGTATTTTAAAGGTATTGCTTAAATATAGTTTTTGCACTGTTCTTTGGTTTAACCACTGACTTGCAGGGCCTCAGTCCTCCAGAAAAATACATGTATTTAACTTTTTTTGTGAATTATAACCATTAAAGTTGCACTGAACATGTAAAGCTTAGAAATTTTTTTAATGTAGTGGTATTTTTGATTGAAAATACCTTTAAGATTATTTTAGTAGGTTAGAATAGGCACCCTTTATTTTCTAAAGTTTTTTTGTTAAAAATAAGTGATGGGTATAATTTAGGTAGTACCATTTTTTCCTTTTTTAAAAAATGAGAAAAAACCCCACTTAATTTTTTTTTGGTGGATCTAAATGCAAAACACAAAAAAAGGAAAATCAAGTGATCTGGTACATTTCTTTATTCATTAATTCAGTTAAAGTCATTATACAGGCAAGTAAGCATGCAAACACATAACTCTGCTGAGATATGTGTGTGTAAAATGTTGTGTGAATAGTGAGAAGGTTCCCAATGAGTTGAGTGATTTATTCACATTTTGTTCCTGTTTTACAACAGTACTGGTTATGGTGAGTGCCTCCTAGACAAACCTAGTGGAGAAACATACCATCTCTCCTCTCAGCTGCCTGGGTCAATGTATGATGTCAACAAGCAGTGTGAGCTTACTTTTGGTATTGGGTCACAAGTATGCCCTTACATGGTGAGTGAAAACCAGGCAAATTTATGCTTAATCTAGGCTAAAAAATTACTGAAAAGTACTGGTTTTGGAATGATTTTATCCTGAAATAAGTAAAATTTCAGGTTATATTGTTTTGAAGTGGAAGAGTTCAGTATACAGCATTGCAATTTCACATGTGAGAAATCTATAGCAATAGAAAATAGGTTTAATTCATTTTGATTTCCATATCTATGAATGTGAGAATTCTTTTAAAATATCTAAAGCTGCATATGCTAAAGTTTCCTGCAACAACTTAAAGGGATTTATTTCAGCACTTCCTGCAAATGTTTTCATAATATCTTACATTAGCAGATCTTGCTTCTCTGCTTCTTTTAATGCTTTTTAGAAACTTACAACTTAAAAATAGACCATCTCAAACATTTCTTCTAAATGTTTGTTCCAAATTGTAGATTCCCTCTACTTTGTCAGAGTCCAAAAATATTTTCATGCCTGACAGTTTTGTATACAAAACTGAGAGAAAACTCAAACAGATTAGTACTGAAACTTAAGTTGTATCTTGAAAACTTAATGTGGCCGTTGCAATATAAACACAAATATAACACTTTATTCACTGCTGACAAGATTTTGGGTAGAGTTAGATTTTGGAGCAACTTGTAAAATTCCTCTACCAGCATTGTATGTCTTGTTGGAGCTGTTTAAAGAAGAGCATTTAAGCTCAAATTCAAACTGAATTAAGTGGAGCTTTTTGGTGAGGTAAAATGTTGTATAAAGAGGGGTCAGACTTTGTGAAAATATTAAAGGAAAGGAAAAGGGGATTTCAAACACCTGAAGATGGTGTTACTGAAAACTGATTTATAAATTTGTTTAATCTGTAAGGGTTATTTGTCTATTAAGAATCTTTTAGCAATTTGAAAATGAGGCTTTCTGCTTAATTTTCTAGACAGTACATTTAATTCCTGTTAAATTCACTTAGGGTCCTCTTCTGAGGGGTTCAATGGAAACTGTTGTGTGTAGTATTACCCATAACCTCTTACACTTTTAAATAAATTTTCTACTGAAGTAGAAAATGAAGTTATCTATTAATCTGATGGGATCAATTTCAGAAATTCCACATTCCTGCTTGGTCTTAAGCAAAATGTGTTTTGGTTCTGTGGGGCTTTATCTGTGAAAATAGCAAACCCTAAGCCTGCATGGTGTGAGAAAATAAAAATAACACAATCAATAAAACAATAAAATAATCACCACTAATGTCTAAAATGGTATTGCCAGTGCAAAAAAAGTAACCTGGTTTTCTTTTTAGAAACAATGCAAACGCTTATGGTGCACGAGCACAGAAGGTGTTCACAAGGGCTGTCGTACTCAGCACATGCCTTTGGCTGATGGAACAGCTTGTGGTGTAGGCATGGTAAGCCTTGTTTTGTTTCTCAGTACTTGAAATTTTGGATGTAGGTAAGAAAGATGAGTGCTTGCTGTGTGACAATACTGTGCCTATAGACTACTGAGGGTGTGAAAATTGTCTACCTGACTTTACATGCTGTTTCTCTTAGTTCTGTAATCTTGTGACATAAAAACCCACAGTTTGTCTATTCAGAGTAATTATGAAAGTTTACAGATGCCACACTGGTTTAAAATAGGTGAAAGAAGTCAGGGGAAAGTTGACATCTTTCCTTCTGTTTGAAATGTTCAGCTCATGCATAAGTTGTTTTTTTCCTGATTGGTAGGGTCCAAAGTAAAATTATCTGAAATATGACATCCTTAAACTGTGTTTCCCCCAGTTCATCCTGTAGAGGCTGTTTATCGAACCAGCACAAATTACATATGAGTCACTTAGGTACAGGTGTATGCTTTTTGTAAGAGGGAGTCTTTGGATTCTGGTCTCAGATATTTATATCTGCACTGTATCTGTTTCAGAGCAAATAGGAAAGCATGTGTCAATAGCTCTTCACCCGCTCCAGGAAGTGCCTTTAGCACACATAACTCATGTTCATTTTCTGTCTTTCCTACTGTAACATAACTCAGGATATTTGGGTCTGTTCAGTGCTAGAAACAGAAGCTCTCTTCTCATTTATACCCCAATGTGTAAGACTACCTGGCTGCTTGAAGTACAGATTAAATGCTTTGACAGATTAAAGAAAAAGAAGTGGAAACTGCATTTCCTATGTTCTGCTCATTGGTTTATTTGGTAAGGAGTTTTTGGGTGATAAGGGTGCTACTCACTACTTCTTCATTCGCAAGTCTTTGAATTCTGATCCTGATCTGTAAAATTGGACAATATAGCCTTCCTTGGGATGTCCATAAGGATCGTGAATATCTTATTACTAGATACAGTCAAGGCACTTACAGAACCTCAATAGAAACAGAAGCAATGGCAGAGGCTAGTTGTATCCAGTTTCCAGTTTTGGATTTGTATGTGGTTTGGGAAGTGAATAAAAATAAGGTGCTTAAGTTCTTTACTGGTCTAGTATTTGTCTTCTTCATGTCTTACTTCACCACCAGCAAACAGGAGTGTTTTCTTATTTGTCAGGGTATTGTGAGAATAAATGTTTTTGAGATTTTACATGGTAAGGTATGACAATGATTATCTTAAGTATGGGTGGTTTATTATGTTGAGCTGCTTTTATATAGTAGTGTGCTTTGGCGGCTTCAGGTGGCAATGTGGGAGCAATGTTAATTTTTTTAAAAATAATTTTATATGTTCAAAAATTATTAAAAGCTCTAATTTAATTTCCTTGTATAATAGGCAGCTACATTTCACTCAGTTATTTCTAATTTTTCCTCAATAACTTTTAATCTTACGAGATTCTATGTTTGGTAAGACAATATTAATGAGGAATTTGAAAATAGTGTCTTAATGGAAAACAAATGTAGTGGGTAAACTGTCTCAAATGGCTTCTTTCAGTTTTGCAAGATTAGAAAAAGTTACTTGAAGGCTGTAGTGGAAGCTTTGCTTGATTGTAGCCTCTGCATGCTGTTGGTGTTAAAATGTTTAACCCATTTTTCAGTCAGTCATTCATCAGAAAGGAAGTTCTTCTTTTATGTAAACTTCATTTGTCACCTTCAGTTAAATTGACTCTAATTTACCAACATCAGAGGACTTCTTTTATAGAAGAATACAAAAACCTTTTTTATGTAATTAGCGCAGTGGAACCATTTTTCTCTAGGAAGTAAAGAGCTAATTATGGTCATTACCTCTGAAAGATGTAAGAAAGAACAGCAATTAATTAATCTGACAAATTGTCATCTGTTCCTGACTAAGGGACAGCTCTTCTCAAGCTCAGACTGCAAGTTGCCACTGATGTTAATGGGCATAAGAGATGGTGACTATTAATTGTAATTAATATTTCCCAGCAAGCTAAATTGATTTATTTTTAGCATTTACAACATTATTGCTGTGATGGATACAGAAAAGACCCATTTAAGGCATTTGTTATTTTAGTATCAACTTTTTAAGTTCAGATTTCAAACATCATGTGTTGTATTATTGGATCTTGCTCGATGGACTGCTCTAATAGTTGGATTTAGTGAAGCATATCTGAGTCACAAAAAACCCACCTCCAAAGAAGAAAAATTGTTGAAAACACCTCTCTTCCAGGAGTGGCATTCTCAGAAAAAGTCTTTATTGGTATGAAAATAACAGCAAAAATACCCAGTAAAGTATGAGTCGTTTATTACTGGTTTTTTGAGGCACTCCAAAAGGTTGCACTCTGGTCCTTCCTGGATTCCTGAGGAGTATAGAAATATGCCCATATTCTTTTGATTCCTTGAGCATTGGAATGGGGAGGTAGGACGTAGCTATATGATTCTGACCTAAACTTTTCAGTGTCCTGGGGATATCCCCGTGTTCTGCATAATGGCAGTTTGCTACTTGAACACTGTAAAAAACTAACTGTCCATGAAGTTTGGAAAAATCTCTTTAACAGCAAGAAGGAATTCACATGGTACAAGTAACAGTTGGATTGGAAAGAATGTGCTTTTCTGTGTTTTAGAGACATGTTAATCAATTCTATTCACTGTAGATATGTAATGTGTATTGAGATAACATCTAAAAATATCCAGAATAGCAATCAAATAAACTAAGATTTCATCCTAGTCCTTTTGGCATAAAAGACAGGGATACAGATATAACTGAGAATGAGAATGCAGAGCAACAAAGAATTGCTTTGAACAGTAAAAGAAATACCCATCTAATTCTGAATTATATTTGCTGTTCTTGACTGGTAGGTAGTACCCAGTAATTGATTATTATTAAGAATTGTTGCATAGCTTGACATAGCATTGATGACTACTTTGTCAATGTAATAAATGAAGATATTGAATCTGAAAGAATAAATAATTTCACTGTATATATATGTAAAGTAAGTGTAAAAAAATCATGTGGATTTTATCAGAGTTGGGGATAGGGGAATATGTTCACCATCTGGAAAGCAGCAGCAGATTTTTTGAACTGTAAGAACAGAGTAAAGTATGGGCTCAAACCATAAATTTTTTCTGTAAACTGGGATTTCTGTGAAATATTTTTCTTTGAGCTATAATTTCAGAAAATTAGAAGTTTCAAGGGAGAAAAAAATTATGCAATTTTTCTGTAAGAAAAAGTTGAAAACATTGAAAAAACTTAAATAGTGTGGATTTTGTAGATAATGTCATTTGAGTAATAAATGTAGACTTGTCTGAGATAAAGACCTGAGATGCTGAGGTGACACCTTCAGTTTGATGTCCTTCCAAGCTCCATTTCTTCTGCTTTGTATGCTCATTTTATTAACTCTAGTTTAGCTCTAGTTTAGCTCCTTTTATGTACCTTAGGGTCCCACTTCTCATCTTGGTGCGCTGTGTGGGCAGTGCTTGATTTCAGAGGAGCTCTAGTCCTGTTCTGCATGCATCCACCCCTCTCCTTCATTCAGTCAAAGCTGAGCATAGCCTGTCAAGTAACGCTTTAATCATTTCTTCCCAGATTGCTTTCCTGGAAATTTAGAAAGTTTAGTTAGAGATAAATTGAAAGCTGTCAAAAGCAATTTATCTAGTCATAGGTTAATCCATAGGAAAGACTCCAAGTGCTTATTATAAGGAGATTATTAATAAAACCAATTTTGGGTACCCATAGGTTTATTGATTCCAAATTTGAAGCATTTCTAGGTTTTTTGACAGAAAACCAAGTGTTGATCTTGACTAGAGCAGCCTCGCCACTTGCTGCAATTGGTATGTTTGGAATTATGTCATACCCACTTTACATGACACATATGCTATATTTGCCATAAGAATGTAGAAAAAATTGTTAGCAATGATTCACATGAATTCACAGAGGAACATCTGTCTGGTGCAGGAGTTTTCTACCTTGACTTCATCATGTTGCTTCTGTAGGAATGCAGCTGAATAATAGCTGAGACAAGTTTGTTGAATAAGCTATTAAAATCCCAGATGTAAGCATATGCTTTGCATTTTTATGGATCAAAATTGTACTGTTGAGGCTATAAAATTTTGTTTAAAAACTCTTTTCTTGAAATCTGCCTTCAAGTTATTGTAAATGTTTTTCTGGATAGACAAAGAGCCTAAATGCTAGATCACTGTCTATATTAGAATGCAGTGTTCATTTTGTAAAGGAAGATTTAGACTCTTCAGCCTATAGTAGAAAAAAATTATTTCGTAAGATGCTAAGGACAGTTCTTGGAAAGGCAAGTTCTTAATGTTCCTTATTATGGATGGACTATGTAGAAAGTCTATGATTGATTGCTAGGGATTTGACATTAGGTATTAGAAGGCTTGCATGTAAAGGTACCTGAAGGCCATCTTGAAAAAAAATAATACAGACTAACAGTAAGCACTCCAGTGAGAATTCATATGCAGTGAAATAATGGTGGCTTTCTGGTTTTAGGTTAAAGCATTAGTTTTAGCATTAAGTGATGATCTGGTCAATTGACGGAATTGTTTACACAGTTCTATGCATTTGCTTTGGGTCTGAGAGTCAACTGGAATGATCATATTCTTAGGGGAAGGCATACAGAGATTAAAAGATATGGCCTATATGCAAGAGTTGGTGTGACAAGGAATTATTCAGGCAAGCAATTTTATCATCAAGTTTGATTAGGAACTTAGGCAGAAGCCTGAAAAGAGAACCTGCTTCTGTAAAAAATTCCTATTTTGAGAACAAAATGTTTGATAGCATGTGAGCATAAGTATCAATATAACAAAAACATATACTAATAAGGAAAAAAAAATTGAGGAGTTATTTTAAGCAGTGATAAAACCACAAGATTTGAATTTTGTGCCAGTCAGCTATATCCAGAAAGACTGCACACAATTTTTGTGTGTTCAGTGAAGCTTGTTTCTTGGTAGTTTCTGCAATAAATTTGTAATAACTCTTAAGAGATTCTATGTAACATTTAAATTAATTGTAAAAGTACGAGGTTTAATACTTGTTTTATTATTTAATCTTTTGTGTATCAGAAGTTATTTAATTGTTTTATGTGCCAGAGACTTTATTTATCAGAATCCTTCCTGAGTTTAAGGTAATTTGAGGCTGTTTCGTCTTGCAGAGAGGCAAAGCCTAGGCTTTAGAAATAACAAGTAATTGAGTTGATATAACCTGCTCTAGTGACTGATCCATACACTATATTTCCTGCAGGGAAAGATGGGATGAGCCACTCCCTGTCAATACAACTAGCAGAATCCCTCCTGACAACAAACCTAATTAATGGACAATCTAATCCTGAGTCTGCAAACAGGCTTCTAAAATAAAGAATTCTCTCTATTATGTATGAGGACTGACCCCATGTATTCAGTCCTGGCCAGTGCCTTGTCTCCAGATGAGGGCAGTCTTTGATGCCTCAGAGGGTGTTTGAAGTCAAGGATAAAGTTGACACGTTTCCCACATAGAAGTCAGCAGGATGTGTAGTGTTGAAATTATAGTATCTCGTAAATATTGTATTTTAGTATGTAAACTATTCCACTGTGTTGTGATCAAATATACTACTTGGGATTTTCTAAAGGATACAAGTGAGTTAGAATTCAAACTGCTGTAAGTCATCAATAGGATTAGTCCTGGTAGTTCCTGTTGGTTCTTTGGAAAAAGTCACACATGCACCCATCATAAGATTCTGATTTAGACTTTTTAGTCATGTACTTTCTGAATAATCACTGAAGTGGAAACATAGGCTGTCAGGAACAGGGATAGTAAATACTTAGAAGCAAGAGGTTGATGCTTCTGGGGGAAAAAAGATAATTATTTTCTGTAAACAGTAAAAGTGTACAATTACAGTGTGGTAAAGTCTCATAACTGGCATGACCACAACAAAATAGTCTTACAGTCTTTGTCTTCTTAATAATGTAAATCCCAGCAGATGAAATGAAAATTTCTCCTTTATGTAATTTTTTAGTGGAAATAGGTAATTCTTCACTGAAAATGAGATGTAAAGTAACATAATAGGCATTGTAATGTAGTATCTTGCTCTAAGAATTATTATTTCTTTACTATTTTTAAAAAATTTAACTATTTAATTTTAATGTTAATAGCTTTGTTAAATTAGTAGTAAATTTTAAAATGCATAAAATGTTAATAAATTGAAATATTTTGCACCTTCTGTTATAGGTATGAAATTCTAGGTTCAAGTATGAATCTATAGCATCATCTTGCTTTACATAATCAAGGTCTTTAATGCTTGTCTGCTTTTCCCAAACAATCCCACTAGATAGTTAGCTTTTGAGATGTTCAAAACACCCTGATTTTCTTGGTGGTTTCTTTCAACTTTTCACTTTTTGTATCAGTATGAATTCAAAATTAAACTAAAAAATCTTGTATATAAGAGACAGTTGTATTTTTGAACTTTATGCTTTATTAAAATGTAGCAGGAATTCAAGATCTTATGGAGATATTTGAATAAAGTGACAAGACAGATAAGTATTCAATATCCAGTAGATTTCCTAGCTGTCAAAGTACTCTGGATAGCTTTTTAAAAACAAGGCTGCTGGGGAAGTTATATTGAAGGAAAATTGAACATTTTAGAAAATATCCAGATCCAGATATGTGTAGTGGGTGCTTAAATTTTATTCTTTTTCTGCCTCAAATAGGCCATAACCTTTTACTGAATTGCAAATTTTATTTTGTTTGTCAACACTGCAGCACTGCCGCCATGGAATTTGTGTGAGCAAAGAAATGGAGCTGCGCCCTGTAGATGGAGAATGGGGACCATGGGGACCATATAGCTCGTGTTCAAGAACTTGTGGAGGTGGAATCAAGAGCACCACCAGGCTGTGTAATCGACCAGAGTATGTTTTTTTATTGTGTTTTACATTTTTTATTATGTTCTAATGTGTTTTACATTTACATAATGAAGGTATTAGAAAATTATGGATTGGCTCAAAATAAAATAGAGGTATTGTGGGCTGTGCAAATCAGTTTGAATCTCCAACAAAAAATGCTTGTTTCAGCCATGTTTGGAAAGAGATAAGTTTACAGACTTTATTATGCAGAAGACCTTTAGATTACTTATGTCTTTCTGCAATATTATCCATTCGTGCAGATGTCTCTAAAAAATTAGTTTGGCAGGGTCTTTTTTTCTAGGTTTACTCTAACTGTTGAGGTTTCTTTAAACATAAGATGCTTTTTTTGCAGTAAGAACTGCAAAAATAAATACATGTATTCCCTACTAATCTCTTTAGTGAAACACTTGATTTGATTTGATTTAAGGCTTTTCCACAACATCACCACCAGTAACAACCCACAAGGAGCAGTGGTTATAACAGAGGCATTTAAAACTTCCCTTCATAATTAGAAAATTACATTGACTGAATAATTCCATGTGGATTTTGTTCTCTGTAATAAAAGTCAAGGAGAACTTTACCCTTAACTTGTCCAGAAGCGGAACTACAGCTCGTGCCTGAGTAGTTTCAGTGTTTTTCTAGGAAGTCATGTCAGCTTGACGTTATCAGTAGGATAAATGAAATTCAATCAAATGGCTCAGGTCATTTTATTTTCTCTGATGAGTAAGAGGCAGTAGACTAGATTGCCATTCGATAATGCCTTTTTCAGTCTCTTGTGATTGATAGTATCAATTTGCAGTTGATTTATTCTTTTTTTCTTCCCAAAGAACATACGAATTCTGAATTATTTTGTGTCTTGGTTTATAACTGTTAAAATGTATTTTAGACTTTACGGTAAATGGGGCATTTTCCACAATTTCCCTTTTTTATTCTTCTGATCCCCAAAGTGAAACCAATATTAAGAGTACAGAAAAGACTGTGTTAGCTCCTAATTGTCTTCTTTCTTTGTCACTCTGTAAAGTAATAATTTCAAATTACTGAGGGAGGTGCCGCTTGTGTAGAAATATGACTGTAATCTCAGCTAAATTGATAAAAGCATTAAAATTATTAATGCTTTTACTCAGGGTAAATAGTTATAGCTGTAAGAGAAGTAAAAGTAATAATGTATTAATGAACATCCTCAGTGAGATTACCATCTCAGCAACAGTATTTCACAAGGTTTGGGTTTATTTTGGGTATAACTGAATGCACAGTAGAAGCTGAGCATGTGTAAATCAGTTGCACAGCTGCCAGGATGCTTTGTGAGATTTTCCTCTGTAGATCAGTGACTGAGTCCACTTTTTGTGTAAAACAGCAATTTTAGAAAATGAGTGTGTTTTACATTTACTTTTATCTTAGGCCAAGAAATGAAGGAAGGTACTGTGTTGGTCGCAGGATGAAATTTCGGTCATGTAATACTGATTCATGTCCAAAAGGCAAAAAAGATTTTCGGGAGCAACAGTGCTCTGAATTTGATGGTAAACACTTCAATATCAATGGTCTTACCTCTGCTGTTCGCTGGCTTCCAAAGTACAGTGGTAGTAAGTAATCCCACATCTTTTCAATTAACACAATAAAAATGTTATTTTATTTAAACTTTTAAAACAGACAAGAAACCTCTTGGATTTTCTTTCCAGTTGCTATGAAAGATCGCTGTAAACTTTTTTGCCGAGTTTCTGGAACAACTTCCTACTATCAGCTGAAGGACAGAGTTGCTGATGGTACTCCCTGTGGAGCAGAAACCAATGACCTTTGTGTTCAAGGCTTATGCAGGGTATTTAAATCTAAACTTATTAATTATTAAAATCAATTTTAACAGGTGGTAAAGTACATATTCAATATTAATGCAAATCAACGTTACTGAAAATATGGTGTTCTGAGTTCACTTAAGTTGATTTTATTACCTATGAAAATAAAGATCTGGAAATGGAAGCAATTAAGTTAAAAACATATAGTTGAATCTGAAGACCCACAGTCTTGCCTCATTAAGCCTCACACGTGGAAGAGTAAATATTGTTCAAGTGAGCAGTGAGAAACTGATCCAAAATTAGGATAAAGGGAGGAAAGAAGCATGCTGTGAAATTATTAGCATTGCATTTCTGCTACCAAAGAAGTAAATAGAAATAGAAAATCCAAGGGCAAATGGTTTATGTAATTATTATTTTACTATCAAATCAGGAGGAACTGACCCTTAAATCAATTCAGCACTCTGCTTAATAGCAGCTATGGCATTGCCACAAGATTTTGTTGGGAGAAGCAAGGTGCTATAGTTTAACAACTCGACTTTTTTGTAGAGCCTTGTTGAGGTTTTGCTGATTGCAGTGAAATTGAGCAAATTCAGAATGAAGAGGAAATATAGCTTATTTTGATATGGTTCAATAAAGAGGAAATGCCAGAGAATTGTCCTGTTTATCATAGTTCAAAAAGCCCCTGGAAGTTTAAGTAAAGATACATAAACAAAAATTATGCTTATGTTAGTTTAACCAGCACAGTCTGTGTGTATTCCTTTGCTTCTTTTCAGTAATGACAGAGTTTAAATGAATTGATGACCATGTATACATATATATACATACTGCTTTTAGACTTCCAAGACTTTTAATGTAAATATAAATTAAAATTTATAAATTATGTTGATTTTTTAGTACAAATTTTTTATGTACTGTTATGTATTCTTACGCAGATCTTGACATGCGGAATCTGTTGGGATTGCACCACTCTATTTTATCCTTACATTGCAGAATCCAAAACCATTGATGGCTTTTAATGGATTCCCAAGGAAGACTAGATATATATATACAGTGAACAACAATATTTTGGGGTAGTGGGAAGCTTATATTACTTATTTTCATTGTTTTCTGTTGGGCTGAGTGACACTGGGCCTTTTTATTTTTATCATTATTTGTAGCAAGCAGGCTGTGATCACGTTTTGAATTCAAAGGCAAAGAGAGACAAATGTGGAATCTGTGGTGGTGATAATTCTTCATGTAAGACACTTGCAGGTACTTTCAACAGTGCTCATTATGGTAAGGTTTGTTTTGCCTTTTTTTTAATCTTAATGCACACTTCACTATGGCTTAGAAATTATTCTTTACATTTAAGGATTTCAGTGTATGTTCTTTAGGGCCTCTATCAACAAAAATATCTTTGATTTTCAGTCACATTCCATCTCAAGGATACAGAGGCAAGCACTATGACATACTAACTCATTCTAGTGAAAAAAAAATCAATCTCCTCAAAAGTCAAAGCCAAAAATAAAAGAAATTATGAGAGTAAAAGTACTTTGAGAGGATGAATGCTTCCTGCTTTGTACTTTGCATTCTCTGCTCTGAAACTTTGCAGCTGAACATATCCCAATGTCTCATTTTGGTTGTGCAAAGAGATAGAAAGAAGTTTCTGTTGTGAGCAGTTGATGAGGTTCCTTTTCTCCTAGAGTGAAAAATACAGCCTATGAAATGTGACCCTTCTCCTTCCAGAGAACAGGGGTAACAATATTTATGTTTTTTCCTCCTCATTGACAAGTAGTGAATGAGAAAGTTCTGAATAACCCTGGTATTTCTTATTGATTTGATTTAGTTTCTCTACAAGAGCTACTGATAGTTCTTCTATATGTAGTCTTTTCTGTGAAGTGTGTAGAGACTACTGTGTGAGTGTAGCAGTGCAGTTAAGTAGTTAGAGCTTAGAACATAAGGACAGAAGTCTCCAGGTTAATATCTGCCTAGAGGCTCCTTCCTACACTTCACTAGTTGAAAGAGACCACAAGTGAAGTGAAAATGATACCTGGAGAGCTGCCAAATAGGATCTTCATGGAACAAAGGGATTGAGGAAAGTATGCCAAGTATCCTGAAAGTATGCTGGATTTTCTTTTCCCCTAGCAGAAGGCACAGATGCATTGAAAATTACCAAAAAATTTATACAACTACCTGTCCCATACAATGACATGTATTTTTTCTTGTGTCTGTCCTAAGAAGATGCTTATAGATACATGAATTTTGTCACTCACGCATTTGTTACAAGTCAAGTGACCATAATGTGAAACTGCCATTATGCAAATAAGGTCAAGACTATCACTCTGATTTAATGACTTCCCATTGTCACAGACTTTTTTGCTTCAAATTGAACTCGAAGGGGAAAAAAGCCCCCATGTTTTGGGATGAGGAAAGCCTTGAGTTATTATTTGGTTTTCTAGTGAGTGAAATGTTTTAAATTATGTTCATATTCTTATTATAGCATATAAGAGATAATACTGAGTTATACCAATGAACAGTATGCTGAACATTTGGGATTATCACGGGGTGTGCTCAAGTAGGAATACAGCCATGCAAACAATAAATTGTATTTAGCTGATCACTAAAACTCTCATGTCCATGGGAGGTCTAAGACATCCCTTGGCAAATGACTGAAGATATTGTCTGAGGAAATACAATTTTGAAAAAAAATTCTGAATTAGGGTCACCAGCTAAATATGTTGATATGCACTTGATCTTTTAACTTCATTTGGTTCCCTTTCAAACTAAAATGAGCCATTTTACTAAGGCAGAACTTGGAATTGAGAATAGCAGCCCGTGGTGTGTGCTTACAGTCATACAGTTACGATGTTGTCAGTAACTGTGTAAACAGTAGTAAAGAAATAATCAAAAATCCATTACAGAAAAACACTAATTTACTTGGCTTCCATTTTAGGAGATGGTAATCTAATTATGTACGCATTATTACTATATTGGCTGTTATTATTGCATCAAATTAGAGTATCTGAGGCTTTCCTGGACAATGGTCATTCTCAGCATCCTAGTGTGTGATTTATTCTCTTTGTGTATCCTTGACAACATGCTATGCAGTTTTGTTTATAGTTTCCTCCTGTATTTTTTCTTCTTTCATTCTGTTACCTCAAAGACAAAGTCTTCAGTGTCTGAGATGAGGGGCTTTTTAAACTGTGTTTTGGTTTTCTTCCCAGAATGTTGAAAGATTGGCCCAACCCTGTATTTATTCCGAGCATGCATCTTGTCAGTTTCTAATTGCAGTGCTGCCCCCAGCTGGTAAATGTGATGGACCTGTAATTAGATTAAATCTTCATTTAAATGCATGGCATAGTTTTAATAGATTAAAAGCACTAGGAAGTTAATGAATTATTAAATTTGTCATGGCCTAACCCCAGCTGGAACCACACAGCCAGTCAGTCACTACCTCCCAATGGGATGGGAGAAAGAACTGGAAGAATATAAGTGAGAAAATTCAGATGGTTCAGATAAAGACAGTTTAATAGGTAAAGCAAAAGCCATGCACACCAAGGAAAGCAAGAATCGGTTCACCATTTCCCGTGGGCAGGCAGGTGTCCAGCCAGGAAAGCACGGCTGTGTCATGCAAAATTGTGAATTGGGAAGACAAATGCCATCACTCTGAACATTCCCCCCTTCCTTCTTCCCTCAGTTTTATATGCCCAGCATGATGCCATATGGTCTGGGATATCCCTGTGGTCAGCTGGGGTCCATCTGTATGCCCTCACAACTCCTTGTGCACCCCCAGCCTCCTCACTGATGGAGTGGGGTGAGAGGCAGAAAAGGCCCTGACTCTGTAAGCTCTGCTCAGCAATAACCAGAACATCCCTGAATTATCAACATTTTCCAGGACAAATCCAAAACACAGCCGCAACCAGCTATTATGAAGAAAACTAACTCTATCCCAGTCAAACCCAGTACAAAATGAAAAGGAAATTGCCATTTAAATTTTTACCCGCAGAGGTGCATCAACTAAAGCCACAGTAATATTGTTAAACACAGTGAAATAAGTGGAAAAATTATCAAAATTTTTATTAATACCTCACATTACATGTTTATATTTGTTAGTTGTTTCCAGTGTTTGCTGTACTCGGTTTTTCTCAGCTGTAAGTATTTCGAATTCATGGTTAGCATCTGTGAGAAACATGTCTGGACTTTTTAACCTAGATTTATGTGCAGCATGATTTTTAAAAAGTAGATCTTGATGCACATTATTTTGTTACCTCGTGGCAAGGCTGCCATAATATTACTTGGAGATACTGCAAGAAATGGTGACTCATTTGTGAAGCATTTGTATTTTGAAGGGAGTGCACTCAATATTTTAAGCAGAAGAAGGTGAATCAAGCATGGCTAGTTTAACAGCTGTATCTACCTATGCATATGACCTGCAACACTCCAATATTATCCTAGTATTTAGGATTCATTCTTTAGCATGCTGGAATTCTCTTGGAGAGAAAATCTCGTAAAGAGGGAATGGAGATATTTCCTGTTAAGTGACTTACCCAGATTTCTGTAGAAGTTTACATTGTGACCAGTCACAGTGTTTCCCAAGTCTCTCTTGATATACTTGACTGCCTTCTAGAGTAGTTCTGCTCTGTAGGAATTCTTCTGAATAGATTGAGCTTATGTTAGTGGTGAAGAATTGAATTCACATATCTGAACACAGAACGTAACATGTGAAGGCATTCAGAGGCATTGGTTGTCTCTAGTGCACTGTAGGGTTTTGTGAATGAAAATTTATTTTCATATGTACTAATACTTGACTATTTTTGTATATAATTTATTTGCAGGTTACAATGTTGTAGTAAATATTCCCAAAGGAGCAACAAACATTGATATTCAACAGCACAGCTACTCAGGAAAACCAGAGGATGACAACTACCTTGGTAAAAGCCTCCTGTGTACAACATGGATGAAGGGGTTTTGTGCTTTTGACAGAGATCTGCTCTGGATGTATATTATGAGAAATCTGATAAAGACATTGGAGAAAATATCTAATTGTTTTGTAAATTCATTTGTCTGGGTCTGTCTGTAAATCAGTAATATGTTAAGGTTTCTAGTTCTTAGATGAGTGTGTTCATTTATCAGAGAATAAGAATTATAACAGCTTGCATCATTTTGTCAATTCTTTACTTTGTTGTCACGATGGACTGCCACAAGTGAGCTCAGGAATAAAGCAGGTATTTGTTGTTTTAAATCTTGGAAGCATTTACTTTGTTTATGAACAAAACAGTCTGACCATCAGCAAACTTACCAGTTGTCTCACTTTCTCTTTTTCTATTATGTCTGGGACGTAAAGAGTATAAAGGTTGTTGTGTGCTGATAGATTTGCAAGTGTGTGTAGGCAACAAAGAACTCATAAGTACCTCCTACCAAAAATCTTGGTTGTTCTATTTCACAGTAGTTACATTGTATCTGAAGTGCTTGAAAAAATATTGAAGCATGTTTGCCTGCTGTCTCTTCTTCCATTGTCATCCTAGCCAACAAACTTCAGAATTCTCAGAATGTTTTCCTTGTCACCTGCTGCCCAGAAGCAACCTTTTCCCCCCTGACATTAGCTTCCATTTCAAATGTAGTAATGCCTGAATAGCATCATGTACTACAAATTTTACCTTATTTAAAAAATGTTTAATTTGTCATTAATCTTTATTATTGCAGATAGGTCATTGTGTTAAATTACTATCACAAATGCTTAATAATTTATTTTTATTTTCAAATTTACTTTTAAAACCCACTTCACTAGAAGTAGCTATAGCAAATACAAGGATGTGGGCTGTAGAATAGGGCAGAAATACCAATAACTACTGTTTCCTCCTGCAGTGGCAGAACCTAGTCAAATTTAAAAGTTAGGACTGCAGTCAGCAATTCAGCAGAAAAAATATTATTTAATTGCTATAATGCAGAGAAAATGCATGACTTAGAAAATCCATGACCACTGCTCAGGTGAAAGGTACTGACCATTAGGGTTGAATTTATTAATTTGAACTCTTTGATATAACTTTTTACATTGACTACAATAAAGCTATGTGTTGGTGAGGTTTAATTGATAGAACCTTTTAACTAAATAGATTTCCAATATTTTATTTCACTTGCAGCTTTATCAGATGCCCACGGAAATTTTATCTTGAATGGAAATTTTGTTGTAAGCATGTCAAAAAGAGAAATCAATGTACAAGGAGCCATTTTCGAGTACAGTGGTTCGAACAATACCATAGAACGAATTAACAGCACTGATAAAGTCGAAGAAGAACTAACCTTACAGGTGCATGTTTACTTTTCTCAGAAGTTTGAAAATTTCCTACATGATCATTGTGTTCATAATTTTATATTCAGATTCACTGAAAAACAGCTATTATTTTATCTCAATCAAGGTTTTGTGTGTAGGGAATTTATACAACCCTGATGTGCGTTATTCATTCAATGTCCCGATAGAAGATGGAAGTGATCTGTTTGCATGGGATCCTTATGGACCCTGGCAAGATTGCAGCAGGATGTGCCAAGGTACTGTGAAGTATTTTTTTCACCAGAACCAAAGATCTGATGGGATTTAGGAAGGGACTCATCTTAAGTTCTCTGACTTTTCACCATTACTTGTAAGGGAGAGACTTGTTACCCTCAGTATCCTTCAAGTTCACAGAGCCTTTAAGGACAGAACAGCTTCTGATTTTTTTTGGCTATTTTTACTACTTAGCCAGTACAATTCTATATTCAAACCTACATTTGGAGAGATAGGAGCAGTTTATTAAAAAGCAATTGGATCAAATCTAATATATTCTTATAAAGTGGTATTGTATGTCTATTAATATTCATTAGGCTTCCATTATACCACTTCCAGGTGATCACTGATTTGTCTGGTGTCTTTCATACTCATTTATTTGTCTTTTTTTGATTATCTGCTAAATGGGACGATGCTGTTTAAAGATATATTTGACTATTTTAAGCTGTTACACTCTAGGCCATTCCAGTATAAAAATAAAGCCACAGCATTTATGAAATGTGTATATATAAAAGTGTATGTACACAGATTTTTGACAAATACTCTTCTTAGTGGGTGCTAAAAAAGCCTGAAAATATGTAATGATGAGTTTCTTCTGGTTGTATACATGCTCATGTTCTAGAGAAGCAGAATAGCTGTCAACTGAGGTATTTCTCCCAGAACTCCAGATCTTTTAGGTGATCAATTTTTCTGCTTCTTTAAGGGAAAGGACCACAATGTCTAAGTTAACATGGTGGTTTAGGAAATATGTTAATTAGCAGAACATACATGATGTGCTTGGAATACTTAGCCTGATGAGTAAATAGACTGTTGCACTTTTGTAGTTCTCTGGAAGTTGATATCCTGTGAGACCACTCTAGGACAGCTGAGAGGTGGGGAAGGTAATTGGGAAAGGTTATTCTCCACCTGGAATGTAGTGAGCTGCACAAAGGAGTGTGTTTATGCAGTATCTGCAGTGTACAGCAATTTGTGTTAATGGGGCATCTCAGTTCCTCGCTGATGAATGGAACCCATAAGGCAGTCTTTCTTATTTTAGCCCTTTATTTACTTCTTCTGATGCTTTTTGAAGGTATTCGAAGAAGAAGAATGACATGTATACGTAGAACTGATGGTGTGGTAGTGTCTGATCAAAGATGTGAACTTCTACCCACTGTACCAAGTGTCTTCGAGCAGTGTAATACAGACTGTGAATTAAGGTAAAAAAAGGTTCCTAACTGATGGAGTTATTGTGGTCTTATGTGGTTTTATTGATTGGCATTAAAACAAGGTAATTCAGATTGCTTTATCCTCTGTCCCTTCATCCCTGTCTACCTTCCTCATTCTTCCCATCTCTCCTTGTTTTCCTTAAATCTGTTGGTGTAGTGGCTTTACACATGATATTTACACCTTTTGTAAACTCACATACATGATATTTACACCTTTTATCAAGTCCACATAGAAGTAGGGTCTTTTCTAATTTTTATTGGTAAATTACAAAATCTCTTGTTAGAATTGTGAATCTGTTCTATATATTCTGGCACAAAAACTTGTATTGCTGCATTAAATACATTTTCCACCAGAATTGTATCCACAACTGGAAATAATTTGAAACAGAATGGTGTTTTTGCAGTCCAAGATAGCCCACACTGAAATATTCAGATGATGAAGAGTTAGAATTATAGCTTACATTTTTCAAAGTCACCTAGGAGATTAAGATAAGAAATCCTTTAAATTTAAAAAATTTCTTTTAAGCCTATGAGTCAAATTCTTTTATATTGCTTTCAAAATCCAGTCATGAGATAGGGTTTACAGTTTTATTTGTTCCCTAAAATGCATATCTGTATTTACATTATGATTCTTGGTACATTCTTTGAGCTTTCTGTAACAGTTTGTCATTTTAGGTGGCACAGTGTTGGCAAAAGTGACTGTACATCAAAGTGTGGCCCAGGACATCGGTCTGTTGCGATCCACTGCATGAAATACTCTATTGCAAGAGGACTCAGTGCTCCAGTGGAGGATAAGTACTGTGCTGATCAGCAGAAACCACCAGCCAGAGAGCCTTGCCATGGTGACTGTACGTTAAGAAGTTTGCACTACACAGAATGGTCAGAGGTACAGATTTAAAACTTTGTAATTGTACCATTACAGTTCTGGTTAGCATTCACACAAAATTTTTAATCCTCTGTATGTTCTTACTTTAGTAACTAAGAGGAAACAATGTTTGACAAGTACAGATATGTAGAATCATCTGATACCAGCCTTTATATTTCAGCAACTTCCTTATATTTTTATAAGAATGGGCAGCTTGTTTGCAGCCTGGTTTTGGATGTTAGCAGCAAAGATCTGGTAATTAAAGGTGTATATTTTATTTGCTTAATAATTTAATTCTGTACTATTTTGATTTTGTTCTTTGTTAGAGCTTTATCTTGGAGCTATTATATAAAGTGCTGAATTTATCTCAAACGAACATATTAGCATTCTGTGGATTAAATGGAGGACACTTTTGTCAAGTGCAATCCTGAACATCTTTTTACCTTTAAGACTGGTAATGTGTTTTGGCCTGGTTTTATTGTCTTGTTTCCTGTTTCATAACTATGCAGTGTTCCAGGAGCTGTGCAAGAGGTGTCAGAACCAGAGAAGCTTTTTGTATGAACAACTTGGGACGTCATCTTCCTGACAGAGAATGCCAGCAACTTCCAAGGGTTGTAACACAGAGCTGCAATGAATTCTTATGTCCAAGCTGGTCTGTTACTGACTGGAGTGAGGTAATGAAACTTTGTAAAACTTAAAGTACATTTGATCCTGGTCATCAGTATTAAAATAAGCTGCATTAAGTGCTTAGGGGTTTTGTTTTATATTTTGGGCCACATGGTTATGAAAGTTTTTAAGTCCTATGATTTGTCTGATACACATCACACATCTATGACTGGCATGAGAACTTCTGTAAAACACTCCTAGAATTTATATTCTCCTTGATTTTGTTACATTAAAATGAGGTAGTGAAGATATGTAAAGTAAATATATTTGTAGTAATTTGCATACCTTCCTTTTTTATGAAGCAATGACAACTATACAGCCAACTGTTTAATAGAATTGTAATAATTTTATTATAGATTAGATGGATATAAAAGAATTGTGGACAGTTTAAACATTTTTCCAGTGAACGCTGTGATATATGCACTATTATTGTATTGGAAATAAATGATCTGCACATAGTTTTCATAATTTGCAGCTTTAGAATCTTAATAGTAATTTCTTTGTATTAGCATTTGAATTGAACTTAACAGGAACTGAAAAGTTCATTAAAAAGTAGGGTTTTTTGGACTACTTACATTCATGGAATATTTTTGTTATTTATATGATTCATGGAATATTTTTGTTATTTATGTGATTTATTTATGAACAAGTTACTAAAAGAAATTGAAGCCCTAATGCAGATTCATGTCTCTGCAAACTGGTGTTTATAATAATTTTACAGTGCCCTGTGACGTGTGGCAAAGGAATGAAGCATCGTCAAGTCTGGTGCCAACTTAATGATGAACAACTGAGCGATGATTTCTGTAACCCAAATGACAGACCAGAGTCAATAACACCGTGTGAACTTCATGAATGTGCATCTTGGCAAGTAGGGCCTTGGGGATCAGTGAGTACATAAGGATTTCTGGCTTCTTGGTTTATAGTTCAGGCCATAAGCAATCACAAAACAATACCTTTTAAACATTTTACTTGAGTCTTACACATTTGTTTTAGTTGAATTGATTCACATATTTGTTTGCAGGGTCCTATTGGCTATCCAACTTGTAATTTAGGAACACCCATATAGAAGTTAAATGCCTAAAATAGTAATTGGTCCTGAACCTTAATATCAAAGATGTTTTACACATCAGTATAATACATCACCAGAATAATGAAAATGAGGGTAGCAAACTGTTCAGATGAACGAGACAGGTAAAAGACCAAGTATTTATAGGTAAGTGGGCATATTCAAGTGGTAGCTTGAATTAATATAGATCAGTCTTCAATCTACAATATACTTCAATTGGTACACATCAGTCTTCAATCTACAATATACTGCAATCAATCACAGAAATGTATATGCTAATAATAGCAGGGAAAAGGACTTAGTATTTTATTGTTACATTTTGTTTTTATCTTCAGTGATATAAGATCTGCTATCTCTTTATGTGAAAATGCTGTTGAAAAACATGTTCCTGTGTGACACACATCAAATATAAACCAAAATGGATTTAAAACACTAGGAAAAAGTGAATTAATTTGTGAAGGAAACTTTTGTCAGTAAATAGATGAGAATTAATTAAAAATATGAGGTATTCAACTTCATGTGGCATTTATAAGATCAGGTTATTCAAACCAACAGTAGAATACTTATCCAAGAAACAGTGTTTCTTGGATATTAGTGGGAAATCATAACCAAATAGCAGCTGATCTTTGTCTTATTATATACAACCTGTTATTAAAATACAGAATAAATATACCTTTGGAAATTAAGTATATTTTTAATTTAGACATTTCTTTTACTTTTTTACCTTAGAGATAAGCATACTGTTATCTAACATAATATAGAGTAATCTTGTGATCACAGGACCGTGAATTTCCATTCCTACAAGCTAAATGCAAAAGTTAAATAAAAGATTAATTCAGTCCCATGATAGAATCCTTATGAATAAAAATAGTTTTCTGAAATAGCTTGTATAAGTAATTTACCAATCTATGTCACTGGAGTAGAACTTTTCATTGCAGTTTTTCCACTGTACCACCTGGTAATAGCCTTTCACAACCAGGTTTTTACAGGTACTTGTGCTTGAACCACAACATTTATAGGGATAGGGTTTGCATCATAATATTTCCAGCCATCTAATGTTTTAGGTGACAGCTTTGAGTGCACTGTGGTCAAACTCTGTAGTGAAGGAAAAAACATTTAACACCTGCAGTTAGTGATTCATTTGAAGCTACTCCTTATTCCTCTCTTTCCCCTCCTCTACTTTCTCTTCACCAGTTTTTATTGCTGAGCATGACATAATAGAGCATGGATTATCCCTTTAAACAGGTCAGGTCAGCTGTTCTGGAAGTGTTCCTTCCCAGTCTCCTGCCCAACCTCCAGCCTAGTCACTGCAGGGGATAGAAAAGGGGAAAGAGAGAAAGCCTTTGCCCTGCACAAGCACTGTTCACTGGTGTGCTACAAACACTGCTTAAGTACCTGATGGTCTGCCACAAAGGAAGCTAACACCATCTCAGTAGTCATTCCTATTCATTCTAGAAAGAGTTGCAAAGTAGAAAATGTAATTAAAAATGAAATTTGGTTATAAATAGCTCTATTTCAAGTGTATGAAACTCCTGCCTTCAACAGTGTGCGGTAACATGCGGACGCGGGTACCAGGTGCGTGCAGTCAAATGTGTTACTGGGATATACCGCGTAATCCTGAGCGACGACAGGAAATGCAGTGCTGCCACTCGTCCTAGGGACAGCCAGGTAAGTTAAAAAACACCTCTCTACTTCTCTGTCAAAAGTGTCTGAATGCAATTATTTTCTACTGACTCTGTGTGGGAACTCGGAGGGCAAAAAGTCAAATTTTGCCTAGAGAATTAAGTAAAAGAAGAGTAATTTTAAGAGATGTTTGAAAGTTGATATGTGATGTTGGTAGAGTATATTGCTTCAAGGAATCCAAAGGCCTGTGATTATTTGTCAGTAGCTCCAACGTGTAGAATATGGTAAGGACACTGCTTGCCATCCTGCTTAATCAATAGTACCCACCTGGCTTCTTTAATAAGCTTCTAAACATAAAAGCCTGTTAATTGGTGTAGTTTATTTCTGCTTAGATGTGCAAACACTGGATTTCGTTATCCTTGGCATTTTTAATTGTGGTACCTGTTAGCTACTGACTGAAACTGGGCAAATTTATATTCTCAGTAGCTGAAGGTATAAAGGACAGGATAGCACAGCCACTGTCTTTGCTTGATCCTTCTGTGCTGCCTGTGGCTCTGAAGCAGGAAACTGTAATGTCTATGCTCCTTTTCTCCAACAAGTTTGCCAAAACTGTTCTTTCTCAAAATGCCAATATTATTAGTTATTGCTAATGCATTTTTAAGAGAAAATAAATTTTCTTTGACACTCCGTTTAAAATGAAACAAAGCAATTCAATGAAAGGTCTTTGAATAATTCCAGGGAAAGTGTAAAAGAAGGTATTTGCATGTTAATTAAAAGCTAACCATTTACTTTACATTTGGCTCTTCCAAAGTGTGTATTTCAAAAGTGTTTTTTTTCCTCACCCCCACAGGAATGTGAATTGCCCTCTTGTCCAGAAAATACAAAAGTATGGACTACTTCACTTCCTCTAGTTCATGTGGGGAAGGTGACCCAATGGAGATATGGATCATGGACCCCAGTATGTAATATAGCAGTCACACCTTGCAGGGCAGCCCTCCACTCATTCACCCATTTTTCCACAGAGCTTTCATTAAGATATTTTTCAGACTGAAATCTGCTTGGGATAGATGAAAAAGGAGTTCTTAAGAAAAGAAACTGTTTCTTAAGGAGGGGATAGACACTTCCAGCAAACTCTGTGCTTCAAATTCAACCAGGAAAAATAATAGGAAAAAAAGTGGAATCCTAGGAGCTGGGGTTCTGAGTGAAATAGTTTTTGTATCATTGGCAGCGCACTAGGAAGTGATTTTTTAAATGTAATTGATCAGTTTCTAAGTATTTGGAACATCTTTGATGTTAAAATATTATTTAAATCTTTTATGTGATAGTAATACTAAACAGCTGGAGTCATTAAAGATCTAAATTGACATTTTTTTGTAAAATAAGCATTAGTAAAACAGTTCCTACATGAATTTTCTTCAATGCAAGGTTTTTATTTTGATAATGTTGAAAATTAGTTTTACTTGATAGCGATGAGAAAATTTAAAATTTTCTGTGAAATGTGGATGTGTCTGTTAATCTCTTGAGATATTTAGCAAAGCATATGATGCAGTTATATTTTTGCACAGCTATTTTAACTAAATAGCAGTAAATAGTGCATAAACTGAGGCTACTCAGCAGTTCTTCATTAAGTACACCTTGAACTTCTCAGCTATAAAGGCATCAGAAGGGGCTCAATGGAATCTGCTAATACAAACCATAATGGCAAATGGATTGTTAATATCTGTTTTTATTTGAACCGTTCCTGTAAATATTGCATCCCTGTGTAACAATTAAAGTGTTCTGGAAGTTACTGATGTTTCTGTTGCTTCTTGCAACTGCATAATTATTCTGTGTTATAGTTTGTATGCTATCTGTTTATACACACTGAAATGCTTCTTGAGAATTAAGGCCATGCAATTCAGTTTCAGGCCAACAGATGCTATGTTAATATTTTAGATGCTTGCATGATCTTGTTTTAGTCTCCTAAAATGGGATGACCTTGAATTGTTCCCTGACAGTGCTCTGCATCCTGTGGGAAGGGCGATCGTGCTCGCTATGTGAGTTGCAGAGATGCTCATGGAGAGATAGCAGATGAGTCTTTGTGTGCTCATTTACCACGACCAGCTGAAATTTCAAGCTGCTTTAGCCCATGTGGAGAGTGGAAAGTTGGAAATTGGTCCCCTGTAAGTATTAATTGTAACAATTTTTTAATGTGTATATTTAGATTATTGGCCAAATCTCTGTTTAGAAATTGAGAGTTCATTTTTCTTTTCTTGCAAGCATGATTGAAATTGCATCCCTTGAAAACACAAAGTATATGTTTGTTCTTGTCAAAAGTAAATATAAATGAATTTATATTTATTAATCATCAATGTTCTGTGGCAAACACCGTGTTAATCTTTTGGTCAGTGCACAGTTACGTGTGACAGTGGAATAGTAACAAGACAAGTCATCTGTGTCAATTATCATCAGCAAATCAGTGAGAATTACTGTGATCCTGAAGGCCGACCTCCTAAGGAACAAGAATGTAACATGCCGCCATGCCCAGTTTATCATCATGTTCCAAAACTACATGACCATCCAAGCCATTTTCCAGAAACAGGTTACCTCCCAATACACCCTCCACAAGCCAATTTAAACCAGTGGAACCGTCCTTCCGTGGGAGGGTATCAATGGAGAACTGGACCCTGGGGAGCAGTAAGAAATTTTTTTAGATATATTAATTTGTTCTGTCACATTAACATTTAATGTGTTAATATTTCTAGAAATGTTATTGCAGTACAGATTTGGTCAAAATAAAAGCACATTCATTTTAAAAAGTATTGTTATTCTTGTTCTTATTATTATTCAGAATATATTAAATTCTAAGTGTAATTTTTCTGTGATTTCAAATTTAAAATACTTCTACATAGTAGTTATTTTTATTTGAAAAGTTCAGTTTTGAGAGTTAAGGTTTAAAACCAAGTTGCTGTTTTAACCAATATATTTTACATTTCTTTGATCATGCAATGGCAAAATGTATTTTTACCTGTTTTGGTAGTGCTCTAGTACTTGTGCAGGTGGATTTCACCGCCGAGTTGTAGTATGTCAAGATGAGGAAGGAAGAAGTGCCAGTAACTGTGATGAGGCAACAAAACCTTCAGAGTCGAGACACTGTGATTCTGGACCCTGCCCACAATGGAACTTTGGGAACTGGGGAGAAGTAAGAGCATTTCATTTACAAAGGGAAACATTATTTACTACATAAGCTTAGAAGTAGAAACATAATTATGTGATTGTGAGTGGAACTGAACCCCTTGTTTTTACTTATTTAATAGAGTTTAAAATTTAAAAAGAATGAGTTTCGACTTGTTTATGTAAACTTTATTCTTTGATCAAATCCAGAACTGTAGTGGAAATACGAGTTATGTAAATATACATCCAGAAGAAGTAAGTATTGCGTGAGGCTTAGGATATACAACATCAACAAATCTTACAGTTGTACAACATGTATCTTGAGATGCAGAAAATTATATTCTGTTACAAAAAGCTGGATTGTATGCAGAAAAACCACAGTGCAATTGCTAGTCTAAGAAAAAAAAATGAGCATAAGAAGCTGTAGAGAAACTTTATTCCATGTAATTTCATAGGTACTAACAATAGTAACTGCAAGTAGTAGTGGTTACTGGGTTGTAGTTACAAATTAGGAGTATCAAGATAGGATCATGTTCCTGGGTTGGAACATTTTGATGACACATTTGGTGTTATTGGACATGTTAGTCTCCATGCTGTGTGATGTTATATCTTAACCACACACTCCTGCTCAAATGCTACAGAAAGAGTTAAAGCTGATTATTTTTGCATTTATTCTAATCTAATCTCTTGTGATTCTTGCCCACTTTTCTTACTTTTGCAAATCACTTTCTGCAATAGAAAAAAGAAGAAAAATTGGTTGAGTGACTTTTTTGTTTTCCTTCTTTTCTCCTTGTTTTAGCCAGATTTAGCCATTCAGTTCTCAAGGTCAGTCTAAATATCATATTAATATCATATTTTTTCTGTCCACAGCCATAGACTCAGGATACAGTTCATGCAGATTATACAGTTTTTTCCTAATTTAGAATCATTGAGAATACCATAAAAAGGTTTGAACTATTATAGCTTGACTTTCAGAGCTCATTAGGAATGAGAACTGGTAATGAAGAATTGCAGGCTAACAGAAACCCAGAAAACACATCCTATACGTATTTTACACTTAGTCTGTATAAACTGGACTGTGTAAAAGTGTGCCCAGTATCTGAGTTTTCTGGCACTGTTTGGCAGGGAAAACTACTTTAAAGAAAAATTTCGGTATTTTCCTTGTATTAAAGAAAGAGATACATGCACATTTATTCTCATAATTACTTCTCCTTAATGGAGTGTCTGTTACTGAGACTTTCTGCAGAGAATCTTGATAAGCCATAAAAGTTTCATTCGGTAAAGGTTTTGGTGAGGGAATCACATGAAATTAGACTTTAAGTCCTTATTCTTGAATAGAGTGTCCAGGGAATATGGAAATAGACACAGTAAATAATATGATGTACTGATGATTGTTATATATTTTGGTTTGATGGTATGTGATGACTCTGTTAATAACAATTATTGCATATAAAATTCTGTGTTTCAGTGTACTCAGACTTGTGGAGATGGAATAAAGACAAGACTGGTGATTTGTCAGCTTCCCACTGGCCAAATGTTGGGTGATCAAAACTGTGAAATTCTAGACAAGCCACCTAACATGGCACAATGTAATGTGCATTCTTGCCCTGGTGATGTTTCTTGGCATCGGGGACCGTGGAAATCGGTACGATAGCATTCAGTAATATTTTTTGCTTTCTTGTTCTTTCTGTCGCTCTATTTCCCCATGTCTTTTAAAAGATTTAATGTCATTTTTTAAAGTTGATGACAATGAAATAATAATGCAGGTGGAATATAGTCAATGTACTTTTATAAAGAAATTGTTCCTACAGTCATAGAATTGAATAAGAAGCAGCCATTTCCTTCAGTGGGAACAATATCATGGTCTGTAAAACATCATAGGGAGTATTTTGAAAATTACCAGAAATCATCATAACTCATAACAGTACCTAATAGGTGCTCCATTAGGTTAGGGTTACAATTTGATATGTGTTTAAATTTATAAGTTTATGCTGTAAATTATGCTGTAGTACTATCTATGTATTTATATTTGCAAAAACACCCTAAACTTTTTAGTGCATAACTTTTTCCTATAGTATATTTAAGTATAAAATAACTCACATCCATGTATATTATATTCTGTCATCAAACATTTTGCTCCATATTACTTGTACATTTGTGTATAAAAGTTTATATTAGTGGTTTTAAAACAGGGACTAATTAAAGTTATCTATGTATAATTATATATGTAAGTATAATATGTTATTGTCTACATGTCACTGTCTATTAATGTGTAAAAATGCCTACTGTAATCACCATTAATCTTTAAAATTGCCACTAGCAGATTATTAACATACTGAAGTAATCATTGCAAGCTCTGCAGTATAGAGCATGTTACAATTCCCAAGCTGTGAATTTGACAACAATATTGATTATTGTGCTAAATTCTAAGGGGAATAAAAGCAATCAAAGGAGGTTGGATCCAGTTCTGGTTCCATCAAAATCAGCAAAAAACCTGTCATTGACATCGCTGAGAGATGGTCTGGGACAACACTTATTTGAATTTTTTATTAATAAAATTATGTAATTTGTCTCTTTGAATTAATATGGCAGCATTTTTTAAAAATGTCTGATTTCAACTATAACAATTGCTAATGCTATATAAGCTATAATCTATTGCAAAGAGACTGTAAAATGTAAGTTTGATTTAATTGTTTACCGCAGTTATCTCATTCTTCCACTACACAAAGCAGAGTTTAGGGTTTGTGTTTAGCAAACACCAGAGTATCTTATCTAGCCATTTTCCAAATAATTAGTGGTGACTCGCTAATTAATATTCATCAAGTGCTGAGAAGACAAGCAGGGTTCAGCATACAACTGATTTTCAGCTCAATCTTTGTTTTCCTTTTAGATCAAGAATTATTCACAACCTGTTTCTTCCCTGAGTAATCCAGTTTGCCCTACATTAATAGATTACCTGTAAGATCTTGAATTGTAAATGTTGTGTATGGTTCCGTTTTATAAAGATTTTCATGTTAGTTTATTTCTCAAGTGACATAAAAAGCCTTTTTAATCCTTCAAAAACTAAGTTTAGAATGGATTCTATTTATCAGACAGAGAGGCCTCTTTTATATATAATTGCAAGCTCTGTGGTTAAGCCATAAAAGATTTAATTTCATCTCATGCTGCAGAAACAAGCATAGCAGATTCAGGAAATAAAAGCAGGCTCACATATTATATATGCTGTCATTTAAATAATTTAACTAGCTTAAATGCTGCCAACACAGAGATTTAGTTGGTTTTTGTTGCTGTTGAAGCAGAGCAAAATTTATTCATTAAGAATGACTATTAGGAAGGAGCAGTAAAACTTTAGTCACAGGAATACTGTTGTAGCCTAGTAAAAACATCTTTTTTTAGCCACAGTTGACTAGGGATTTTTTTGTTTGGCAATAGATCATGGCCCTGCCTATCTTACACGTTTCTGGCATAAAATATGCTTTAATATAGGGAACTGTTAATGGCTAGATGCTCTCTGGCTGCTGAAGTCCTCAAGCCTGTCACATCTACACTTACCCCTGTCTCTGTAAGATTGCAAGAACCAGAAAAGTAACTATTTATATTTTTCATAAAAGTCTGGAGTAATCTTTCTGTGCCAGGTGAGCAATGCATCAAGCTTTTGTGTCTGCTAGTGGGATTCCAGTGATAAAACCTAAGCAGAAACTGTCACACAAGACTAGATGATCTTGGAAATCTTTTCCAACCTCCATGATTCTGTGATTCTAACTTGTCCACTAGCTATTGCTATATATTTAAGAACAGAGGACTTTTAGCAGTATCCTTTCTAAATACATTTGTTTTATTATTACAGCAATTGATTAATTTTACACAACATAATTAACATAAAACATGTATTGTAAATGCACAAAAGGCCCTTGCAAAGATGGTTCAGTTTATGATTTGAAGCCAGAATTTTGGTTCATGCTTTCTGGAGTTTAGCAGCTGTTGGCTGTTACACTTTATAGTGTCTGTCAGTGGCTACTGGAGCTGACCCTCACAAAGCTTAAAGGCTGTGTGCTCCTCTGTTCCTGATTCCTGCAGTTCTCCAAATGCATGTGAGGAAAGTAAATCTCAAATTCTAAAGGTTTATTTCTTTAATTTTTATATATTTTCTAAAGATTTTAGGAAGCTTGGGCCAAAATTACACTTGAGGAGTAAATAAACTGTTCATATATGGGAAAAGAATACTTTCAGGCTTTCCATAGTGAGGAAAGTTTGCTCACATTTTTAGACAACTAGGATTTTGATCTTATTTTTGGCCCTCTGTACTTTTTCAGTGCCTGCAAAAACTCTTGAAGATACAGGTATCAAACAGCAAGGTTTCTGCTTAGGCAGTTGGTGGCAGCAGTTGATGTTGCCTTGGAAGCCTTGTATTTCATTTGGGCAATCAGTTCTTGTATGAGTGTTGGTAGTTACCTAATTTTATCATGAAAATTTTAACCAGATGTGTCTCAACTTGAAATATAATTGGCTCTTGTCCTTTCTTGTTTCTTTAGAAAGAATAGATAGCTCCTTACAAAAGATAATTTTTTTTTTTTTGTGTCTGAAATGTTTATTAGAAAAAAGGTTTTTTTCTTTTCCTCTTAGGATTTGTATGTAATTCATAAGTATTACTTGTGATTTCAGAGAATATTGGCATGAAAAGAATGGATTATTTTCAAAGTTACCCTGAAGTCTCAGAAAGGTGTTACTGTCATTTCTTACTGCCCTTCAGACACATGATGTAATATTCTTTAAACCAGCTGTCTTTCTAGTGCTTCAGTTTTCTACTTACTTGCTCCAGAATAATTTAGATGTAATTCTGTCTTTGCAGTAGTGGAAGAAATCTGCTATTAATTTTTAAGTATATGAATCTATTTTTTACAAATAGTCCCAGTTCCCTTCCAGTGTTGTCACTGCCAGGCATCCCATTGACTTCTTCAGGAGCAGAAGCAGGCCAGATTTTCATATGTAAAATATTTATTTGTTTTCATTTTAATGCAAAAATTCTTGCTGTGTATGATAAGTGCCTTCATTCACTTTTTCTAATGTGTAAAAAGTATTTATATCTTTTAAAATAATCTTTTATATTAAAAGGGAATTCAGAATCAGTGAACTTGGTTTTCAGAACCACCTTCAGTTTTTTACCTCTACTTCTGCTGCTGCCTAATGTTGAACTTCAAAATACCTCATTGCCCATACAGCACATTAAATTAATATCCCACTGCCTGAAATCTTGATGTTAGCATCTGCTATTCATTTTTTGAAACTTTGGAAATGGGAGGGAGGCCTTATCAGAGATAACTGATTGCAGATGTCACTGCCCAAATAATGTCATAAAAGAGTCTTGGGGTAGTGAATTTTATTTCAGGTCATTCTGATAAAAATGAAAGAAAATACATGTTTCCAAAATTCAAAACCAAAATATTTGTGTAATGTTCATTGAGAGGAAAATCTCCTGTTTGGTGCTATGTTGCCTGTATAGCTTGAAATAATAAATAAGTTATAATGAATGTGTAATAATTTAATTTAATGACTGTGACTTGTGTCTGTGAAATACAGTTGCATTTTAACCCTTCTTTTTCATGCATGTTGTGTGGCTTTGTGTTTATATTTATTGTGCTCTTTATTAAGGAATGTTAATGTTTAAAGCCCTTAAAAAATAAAGGGTGGGCCAGATACTAACCACTTTTGCTGAAAGTGAGGGTTTTCTTTAACCTGTGTGTTGATATTAACTTCATACTATACTTCAGTGATGTTGTCATGGGGAAAGATCTTATATTTGAACACAAAAAAAAGATTGTTACTGATACAAGCAGTGTTTATGCCCTTGACCTACTGGACTGAAATAGATAGATGGTCTTTGATGGTAAAGCTGAAAGATCCTAGCTCCTGAATCTTTTGCTGGAGCTGTAATTTTGTGGCCCAGTCCTCTCCCACTTAGTGAGTGACAAAACACAGAGAAGAATGAGGATCCCAATATAAAGCTCAACTCTTAATATCAAAGACGTAACATGGGTTTTAAATTCTTAAAATACTTTTGTCAGGAAGAGGTTTGCAGAACTTTCAGACCTTCCACTTAGAAAGAGGACAAGAGTGGGACATAGTCCAAATAAAACCAGTAAATAATAATAATAATAATGAAATCACACACACACCAGAAAAAAAAAAACCAAACAAAAAAAACCCACACACAAAACCCCAATAACCAGAATATAATGAAAGGGGAAAAGAAGCAGGTAATGCATAATACCATGCCTAAATACATAAGCCATTTGATGAGAATGAAAGGAACATGAAGCTACTGGTGTATTTATTAGACCTTTCAGAAAAGCTGAAGGGTTCTAGTTGGTCAAATCCTTGTGAAAATCATTCTGAGCTGCCTGTGTGTGTGGCAGCTTTGAAAACCCCAGCCAGAACTCATAAATGTTGGTTCAAAGTTGTTTTGGAACTCAGATTTAAGATACTAGATAAATGTTAAAAGTACTAGCATTTTCAAACATTTGTGAGGGTCCATACCTAAATATTTTTATTACCTGGAATGAGTTAGGAAATGAACAATGTTCTGTACTGCATGATTTCTTAGTCCTTTCTTTGAAAACCAGTAACTGTGGCAGACTGGTGACTCCC